TTAAAGTGTTGAAAGTCGTGCTTTTCTTTGAGTATCTCCATTTTAAAGCTGCACCAATCATTAGATTTAATAATAATAATGCATCAAATGACTGCGTGTGTTGAGGGGGTTGCTCATAGTGACAAACACACTGAGAATTATCACCTGACTCGTGCAGTTCGTTTTTCAACCCCAACTTGATTGTTTTGGGTTCAGTCTCACTGTTCTGCTCTAACGTTGAGAATGCTGCTTAATGCTAAAGCACCAAAAAATAATCCACAAAATATATACATGTTCTTCATAATGAATAGGTTTTTTTTTTCACATTTTACCTTTAATTTGTTTATTGAAGCTAATTTGGTTGATGGACTTATAATGGGATATTTTTAAAGTGTAATCCTGGTAGTTTTTACTTAAGCTAAAAGATATTGGAGTTGTTTGAATGATCTAACTTTGAGATGCAAAGTCTGAAAGTGTGTTTTCAGTGTACACAAACCTCTGTGACTACATTACATCTTTCTGTGTTGTGGGATATCAAAAAGCTCCACTGCAGCTTCTTCCCCTGTTGTGCTGTTCATGTAGTTCACTGCAGTTTATTTCCCAGCTCGATCGAACGCTCTGTTTGTGTTTGTGTGTGTGACGAACTGATTGGACAAACCGGCTCGGCGTCTCAGACACTTGCGCTATTCAGCAGATACAGGCCCCGGCACCTAGCTGTGGTACTGTCCATGTTCACAGCCTCACCCTCCAACAAACTCAGACAACATGCTGAGGCTTATTGGCTGGATTGAGTGTCACAGGTTTTCAGTCTGGTTTTCAGCGTTTATCCTCAGTCTTTGTCAAAAATATGTAATGATTGTGTGAAGTTTACACTAAAACTATAAGAAAAATGTATGTCTCCAGTAATTAAGGTCAACTAATAGTTTCAGCGGACGGGTGTTTATTAACAACTTGGGTTTTATTTTTCATAGTTTTGGTTTTTCCCTAAAGCTGAGTTTAAGGTTTCCTTAAAATGTTCACTTAAGTATGTTTAAGTGTTTCTCCATATTACTCATATACTTAAGGAATCACTTAAAGTCCGTTAAAACTGTTGCACAACAAAAGACCAGAAGCCACCAAAGTAAAGAAAAAAACTAAAAGGTACCTCTTGACTCTGTCTTAACTGAAACATGACTGAGTTTATGCCTTAACCTCTTCCATAACTAAGGAAACATTTCAAGAGATTATGTTGCAACATCCCTTAAGTAAATCCCTCAGCTGAGGGGGAAATTAAACCTTAAGTAGCCATACTTAAAGGTTCTTTGTGCAACCGACCCCTGGTTCCTCCAGAGACGGGGGAACTGGCAGACACACACCGGATGTGGACCCACAAAGCGGCCTCAGAGGAGGGTCAGATTCAGGGTTTTAATCAGTCTAAAATCGGTACACAGGTGATCAGTCAATCTCGCAGAAGTGTCAAAATCACTAAACACGAATACTACACGAAGTACTCACACGGGGGTAAAGACGATCTGGCAAACTAATGAGGGGAAGACAAGGACTAAAATACTCTAATGCAGGGGAGACAATGGGACAACAGGTGAAACACAATTAGGGCGGGGCAGGTAATCACACAGAAGGGGAAACTTAACAGGATGTGGGATCTGAAACGATACAAGATAATGGTTAGCAAAATAGAACAGGAAACACAGGGAAACATTAAAGACAAGGAAACCATGAACTCAAGTCACTTGACGGGCCAGACAGGGACTGAGGTCCTCACATGGTGCCGTTCCCTGGGGAAGTTGTCTTCCACAGAATTCCAAGAAAACGAAGTGATAGTTTACATGTCATCTACTTTGAATAACACAGACTCCAGCTCTGTCTTGTGGAGCGATTCATCTGAATGAGGAGCGAGTTGTGTAATCTAAATAAAGCTCCATGTCCTCCTCTGCCCCTGCAACCCTTACATAATACATTGTCCTGTTACTGTACCCTTTGATAATAAAGTGAGGTCCAGAGCTTTTATAAATTGACATGATCACAGAAGTGAGTGAAGATACTGTCCTCTGGACATAAAAGGTGAAAAAGAATAATTTCCTCTTCTTCTTTTCAGGTGTCTTATCTGACTTGCAGCTGTAGTAGTTTTCAATGTGCATCTGTCACATTAAAGAGAGTCAGTGATAAAAAACACATGTGATAGCAGGTTCTGCTGAGCCTGACGGAGACCTGGGATGTGGTCTTGTATCACCTCCTCAGCGACACTTGGAGGTTATCAGGCCACAGCAGCTGGATCAGCTGTAAATCACAGTAATCGCAGCAGCAGCCTGAGCCACTTCAGTAAAACACTGAAATATGAGCAGGGCTGAGGTGGAGTCCAGATCTGCTGTGTTGTTGTGTGTGTGTGTGTGTGTGTGTGTGTGTGTGTGTGTATGGATCAGAGGGATCCATTTCAGCACATTACATAAGAGTTGTGCAGCAACAAGGAACAGTTCAACATTTTGGGAAATATACAAAGACAATAGATACCAATCTAAAACAACCTTAAAACACCTCTGAAGCTCTCAGACACTCACATATTTATCTTGTTTAATTCGTACACAAACAAATCTTTTAGGAGGAGTTAGAGTCTGTAACTGAGCATTCTTGAACTATCATATTTTTGTGTTCTTAGAATATTTAAAAAAAAAAAAAAAAAAAAAAACATCTCAGTTTTTATTTGTGACTTACTTTTCATCAAAAAGGATCATATGAATATAATCGGTCAGTCATTAATTTTAGTTTAGAAGATGTGGATTCTTATGTATGTTTCTAGCTGAGCTTGCATTTGTCACTAGATCAGACTCTGGACATTTAACCCTGCTTCATTTTTGAATTTAATATTGATGTAATATTAACACAAATGACACATAAATACCAGTTGTAATTCAGTTTATTATGAGTTGATTTTTTAAAAAGAAACACCAGTCCCTTGGAATCACTGTCATTTCCACCAAACTGTAGAAAAATGCTAATTCAAGGAGTTATGGGTCTGTATAGTTGGTGACCATGTCGCAGGAACCACAGTGAGAACAATCTTCACTCAAGAGTATATTTACTGGGTGTCATTTCCAAACACCTCATAGATGTAAATATATTTGGAAAAATTGTGTTTTATATATACTTATATATATTTTGGTGTATATTTAAAGCTAACCCTAAAACTGATTTAGTGAGATGGAAATGCTATTTGCCGATGACAACAGTTCATCAATCTGACCAGCTCCTCCATGCTGCCTCCATCCTCCTCACACCGGCAGCCTCCCTCTGGGATACACTGCTCCTGGTCAGGAAATAACAAACATTATACCTGTTTAAAATCAGCCTGTTTTTATTTCATCCTGCTGGCATCTGTGACTGTTGAGGTTTACAGTGAAACAGGGTGGAGGACCCTGATGCAGACAGACTGGTGGGCTGATAGGTGAGGGGGAAATTACTCATTAATTAACAAAGGAGTGTCCAAAAATTTACAGGAAGACAGAAGACTGAGATCCAAAAACAACCAAAGACCAGGAGAGGAACACAGGAGAACACAGGAACTCTTCAACACGGAGTACAAAGCAAATCTGAAGAACTGAAAAACTAAACAGTCTTTATCTGGTAGCAGTCTACGGCAAAGTCCAAAAACACAAGCAAACGGGGGTTTCCAAGCAAAACGCTAAGACATAAACTAAACATCAAAACAAAGCAAAAGACCTTTGATGAACACAAAGACCTAAATACAAAAGGGAGACAGGAGCAACAGGAAACAGGTCGAAATAACTGGGGCGGGCAGGTAATCACATGGCGGGAAAAAACATAAAGGCAGTAAATAAAACAAACAAACAGACAACAGGTAAGAGATGAGAAAAATAAAACAGTCGCACAGAGTCAGATGAAAGTCACTAAAGATCATGGCGTGAACATGATATAGATGGTAGAAACATATGGAGGAGATGGTCTCGTTATGTAGCAAAGACAAACACATGGTATGGTATAAATCTTTACTAATTAATGAGCTTATTAGCTTCGTTAGAAGTAAACAGATTTTTCTTGTGAGCATGAGAAACTCAAGAGCGAACTACAAACTTACCCCAGAGTTACCCCAGCTGTGTTCTTTTGTCAGGGAGAACATGTCAGTCGATCCAAGTGCCTCTCGTTATATAATGTAAAAAAAACCAGCTGCAGATTACACAGCAGATTGTACCTGTTATCTGCTCTTTATGTTTAACACAGCCAGTGTCTACCTTTGACAGGCTGTGGGTAAATGGGCCTGGACTGGAGGAGCTGGCAGCCCACACTCTAATAGCTGAGATGACACACACACGGTTGGACTGGGAAGGTTTGATGTTAAAAACCTGGATACACTTCATCATAACAAAATATACCAGTAAAGGAATAAAGTTTGTCCTGAGTGGAGACAGAGCTGTGCATTAATCCCCTCAGTGCTGGAGTACTGAGAGATCATTCAGTGGTTTAAATATAGCACTCTGCAGTGTTTTCCTCTCCAGCAGAGATATCGTAGATGATTTGGCTTCGTGGGGAACAGATAACTGAAGCAATGATCAATTATTTCCGTCTCCTCTGATGACCTTGATGAATCGAGTCATCTGTTGTCAGTCAGGCCGGATCGATCGACGTGTTTGGATTTAATTTGTGCGCCCTGCTGTTATTCCTCTCACGTAAAGCTGGACCTTCAGCTCGTAACCAGACAGCAGCAGATCCTGCGAGAGCTGAACCCCACACTCACACTGTGTGTGTGGAATAAATCATTTATTTAGCTGCTGAGAAAATATGCGAAGGCTGATGGATAAAATGTTATTTATATCAGTGCGGTTAACACAGGATAAAACACATGACAGAGTGTGTATCAATAGCCTCCAGAATCATTTTCTTTGATCCCCCCCCCCCCCCCGACTGCCTCCTCTGCCCTCATCACCTCATGTGAAGATAGAAAACACACGATTCATAACATCACAAGTGAATATTTATTTTGCTGTATATTAAAAACAAAGTGGCTGTGGTCTGGGTAATCAAATTATTTCAGTACATTAAAATAAAGGCTTTATAGACAGCTGAAGTCCCCCTTCCAACTATATGTTCTCTCAGTGTTTTCTATTTAAACTTTAAGAAGTACACTGCTCTACTGAACGGTGAAACCCGAGCATCTCGTCAAAGAAAAACCATCAGCTGTGTCCAAAATTGTTCTATACACACTGTGTTGGGAATTCATTTCATTTAAATAAAGCACTTCTTCACTGTGATGGAGACAACTTGTTTGGTTAAGAGAGTAAGAGAGTATAATCACAACGAGGCTATAAAGGCGGACTGGAGAGTAGATCGGTTTTCATGTTCAATGTCATTACGTTTAACGTCCCCAACAAGCTTTGTAGTCTCATTTAGACACTTGTTAGTAACCGGCCTTTTTTTAACACAAAAAAACTTTAGGAAATCCGGACTGGAGTATTTACTGACGTAATCTATGTTGTAGAATAAAATCTGAAAATGTTTTGGGCCTTATTTCAGCCATCCAAGCAAAAACCCACTCAAAAACCCCATCGACTTTGAGATGCGGGAACAGGAAGTGCTAAAATGCTAACTACTTTCCGGGTATTCCTGCAGCTAGTGACGAGTGAATGATTCAGACATAGCTCTTGATTATGCCGTTAGCACTGAACAACTACAACTCCCATGAGGATCTGACGGGGCTTCTGTGGCTTCAACCTACAGTCTCATGGGATATGTTGTTGAATGCTCACAAAATAAACTTTTTCTATCTTGTGCTCAGATGTTACTGCCCAGGAGAGTAGATACACACTTTTCTAAGAATATGAACAAAAATTCTAAAATCACATTAAGCATTTTAAGTTAGCGAAACAAGCTAATCCCAGGTGGGACTTCAGCTGTCTCCTCTCATAATTGTTTAATTGGCAGAAATTAGATTAAATAATTAAATAGCACACCACGGTGCTATAAATAGCATTAAATATACATATTCATACAGTGCTTCCATGCATTGACACATGAACAACATATTTACATTCATTCTTTACCAGTAGCTCAATTTAATGTGTTAACTTTTACGGTTATTAACAATATTCACAATCCAGGAACAAAAATATATATTGACTCCTATAATTAAACCTGACACAGTAAGTGAATGTGATCCTCCTGATGGTCTGTGTTTGCCCAACCTGTGTTCAAGAGTAAACTGCCACCTCAGTGACAGTTGTAATGGTTGTTTATGGTGCGTGTAGGACAGGCGGTGCACTTTTACATGTGTGTGTACCTGCTCACATTGAGCGGACGACACTCCCAACATGTAGTTTTTCAACTATTCTCTTCGGCCATGTTTTGTGCCGTCAGCACCGTGTGACTGGGTCCAGCAGAGAGCTCACAGTTCACCCCCAGTGAATGGCAACCATTGCAAAATGTCTTTGTTCTGCAGCAAAGCCGTGGCTTCATCCCCCTCGCTTTGACTTCCAAATGAAGCTCTACGCTGTCTGATACCCAGTGGCACATGGGGACGCAGTCAATAGAAGGTTGAGCTGTTTTTCCATCAGCAGTTATGACCCGACGTTCACCTCCACATGTCGGGGCCGAGGGTTCTTCTTAGAACCAGCTTAGGGAACCACAAACAACTTCAAACATACAGTCAGCAAGTGCAAATGAAAAGACATGAACTGAAACTATTTTGAGGGGGTGTTGAAAGCCGTAGTGTGTTCACCACTGGGACGTCCTATGCAGACCGTTCCCCTGCAGAAGAAGAGAGAGACGGTAAAGTCGTCAAACAAATGGCAACATAATGAGACTTTAAATAATTACTCCAAGTTTATAACATAAAGTACCCACTGGAGGCTTGAAAGCGGGCACTGAAAGGTTTGCAGCTTCCTCATTCATGGAGCACAGCAGCTGTAGTCATTTTACATTTTTATTATCCCATTTTTTGCCACCTGCTGAATTCTCAGTGTATAAATTTCCATTGCCAAGAATTTCCTCTGTGGAACAAAATTGTATAGTAGTGTCCACAGTATCCACTGTTCTTGGTTAAATGATTTGTCTTTGATAGATATGAAAATTATTACCTCGTGATGATTAATAAGTGTCTGAAATCTCAATTTAATGCTCACTATAAAATGAGCTGGAGGGAGCAGATGATGGGTGAATAAGAGAGGGATTTCAGAAAAGTTAAACTCTCCCCATTATCTCCACTTTTCCACACTATCCACACATATTCTAATATGGCTAGATTCTTTTTCTGTATGTTCCCAGCATGGTCAGCTGTTTTTAATCAGCCATAGTTAGTGAGTGTTGGCAGCAAACAGAAACGGTCTAGTTATATTTTGGGAAGAATAATTATATATGGATTTTAAAAACAAAATGCTCAGCCTACCTGAACGGTAGAGAAGACATCTACCTAAATATATCGCTATCTAGGTCAGCTGTTGTTGCACATAGCTACAATTGCTAATGTTGGTCACAAAAGGCAAATGTGAGCAGTTAATCATTCTACCAAAAACCAGAGGCTGTGTATTTAGCCATACTTACTGGCTAAAATTAGGGAGGAAATGTACATGTTCCAGCAGAAGAAGACGTAGGCTAAGAGCTAAGAGCTAATAGCCAACATTTAAAAAAAAAGCAAACAAAACCTATACATTACAATACAGGATAGTGGAAGAGTTGATTACGCTACATTAGTAGTCGTAGTAGAAATTTGCAGTGGTTGTTTTGATACTTTATTTTATGGAAATCCATTGGAAACCATTGTAACTGCTGTGAATCCAGATGAACTAAAGCTGCGGTCGTCCATGAAGGAGCAAACCCTTCAGAGCAACCTTAAAAGCTTCAGGGACAAGTGCTTAATGTTCAAAGATAAAGCTTTAGAAGATAATTCATGTTTAGTGCAGAGAAATGTGGAAAAAGACTTCTACAACACCAGAATCAAAGGCTCCCCTTCCCACCATCATTTCTTGCATTATAATAAGAGTAAAGATGGAAGAGAGCACAGTCAGTCCTGTTAGCAGACTGAACAGACAAAGTAAGAGACACAAGGTCTTGAGAGAGTGAGCTCTGCAAGGTAAGAAAAAAACATTCCAGACAAAGAAGTGATTCATTGTCAACCTGCAGAAGAAGTTGCTATGGATACAGCAGGAGCAGAGCGGTCGACATGCACAGGGGAATAGAGAAGCATCTGGAGGTAAGCGAGTGATCAGGAAAAATGAGCACAAGTGTGGGGTGAAGAAGAAGAAGAAGAAGAAGAAGAAGAAGAAGAAGAAGAAGAAAAAGAAGAAGAAGAAGAAGAAGAAGAGGCGTTTGGGGAGGGGGGGGTTCGGGGTACGACCTACGCTATTTCCGTTTGTCTGTGTGAATGCAGTGTTCCCAGTCTCAGTGTGTGTGGACGGGGTGGTGCTCCCGCTGTTGGCTGCAGAGTTGGTGGAAGCTCGCGGAATGACCATGTCATAGGACGGGTCCTTAGGGTGCTGCGTGAAGTCATAACATGGGCCGTGACAAAAACATCCAAGATAGAGGGAGGGAGGGGATCTGTACCTGAGAGCTCAGGTCGGCAGAGTCTGTGTCCCCCTTTAAATCACATCACTAAGCTGCGATGACTTCTTCATTGTTAAATAAATTTTTCAGCCTGTATTGACAGTGACAGTATAGACAGGCAGGGAAAGGCAGGGGAGGGAGGGAGGGGATGACATGCGGCAAGGGTCTGGGCTGGATTTGAACCTGGTACACACTTAACCAGGTTCATGATGACAGTGTCAGATTTACCGTACAACTTAAGAAAGCTTATACAAATACAGATACAGAAACGCGCTGCAACTAGTACAACAACAGAAGTGTTTCCAGGGGGGCACAAAAAAGTGATGAACCCGGCTGGGACAAATTATTATAACCTATACAGTGGGCATATTGTATCCCATAATACAATATGGAAAGTAGTGTAAACCGATGGTCACTAACCAAGCACTATATAGTCCCCTGGATAGTGAATAAGGAGAAGTGAATGAGTGTGTCAAACCTGGGTTCGTCACTTTTTTGTGTCCCCCTATGTTGTCATTTTTGTATTTGCATCACATGTGTTGTCAAATTGATGATGATGTTTTCTGAATGTGCTTGTGTTTTGTCTATTTGCATGCATTTTCTTAAGTTGCAGTGCTTTGAGCTCTCAGGGCCACCGTAGATTAATATGAAATCCAAAGGAAAGGCCTGGATCTGTAGTGGTCACCCATAAGTTTATTGCTGGTGTGACTACCAGGTGAGCTCAGCAAAAGAACAGTGTCCATGAAGAATGAACTTTTATGGGCATGTGTATCTGTGGAGGAGTGAGAGAAACCTGAAAACTACAAAATAAAAACTACAATTCACCTTTATATATATATACATATATATATATAAATATGAATTTGGTTAAGACTAGGGTTGTGGTTTGGATCTGAATTCAGAATCAAATCCACTTATCAAATCTTAATCCTTTCAAATCCCTTATTGACTCTCATCCAGTTTGGCTTTCAACATTTGCCAGGAACTGGCTGACACTCTGAAACAGTCTGAGGTTACTGCCAAATGGTGTTCAGCTCAATTTGCATACTACAGTACATGCATATGTGTGTGTGCAAATGTGCAGAAACACAGCTATTTACTTGCCTCTACCCTCATGCTATATTCAAATGTGTACCTGTGTAAACAAACCACATGGGCGGATACTCACATTTCCTAATGCTTTGGTGATGAGAGCGAGTTCAGTGGGCTGGTAGACTGAGCTGCGCAGCTGCCCGGTGTAGCCGCTGTATGGTGACACAGGTTTGGCCCCTGTAAAGGACAGAGAGGGACAACATGTGTCATTATGTTGTCACCCACTAAGCCTGCGATATCTGTGTGATATCTGTGTGATATCTTTAGGCCTTAGCAACCATCTCCTACATTGTTTTATAACATTTCAGATACAGACAGCACAGCGCTCTATCAGTTCTCTATCTTGTTGGTGCCTGATGATGCATCCTGTAGACGTGAGAGATGACTTTGTCACATGTCAAATATTTTCCTCCTTGATGAAACTGTTGCCACACCTTGGTTGCCATGGAGACAATGCAAACACAAGGTGTGATGTTTCTGGTGGGGCTCAGAGGCAGAGTGGGGAGTGGTGTGACAAAGATACTACATAGACAGTAGATACTCATTAACAGGGATGATTCAGACAGTCACACTCCCTCTGAATCCCAGGCTGAAACTCTGGGAAAGAAATGTTTGATCGAATTGTCACTTGTGGTGTTGACATCAATTATTGACTTTTTAGTCACAGCTCACAAAATAAGAAATTAATAAGACTAGGAGGGGAGTTAACTGGGGAGTTCCTGTGAAATGTTGCTGCTCTGAACATTTTCATATCACACAGCAGCTATGCATACAATAGCTGTGTCCCAGTTCAGGGGACACATCCTTTGGAGGCTGAATTTACAGCGGCGTCCCATTTTGAAGGCTTCTTCAAATGCGTCCCTCTTTACCTGGGCAACGAAGGCTCCAATGGGTGGATCATTTCTGGCCCAGTGTAGGACTTCTGTGCTCTGTTCAGTCTGGATTTTTTTACTGTAACATCAGATCCTGTTGAGCTCAGGACTCAAACAGCATCGTATCACATTCTGCGGGGTCATCACGTAGATGTAAAACAACCTTTTGAGGACATTTTGCAGACTATTTGTTCTGTTCTGATGTTTTTGTGGGCTTGAGACTTCCACTCATCACTTATCTGCACAAGGTCAATTCTGTATAATCTCTGATAAGTATATTATAATACAAAACAGCCCTTTGCAGAGACAAAGGACAGAATGTACAACTCAATGTTCCTAGACTTTACCTTGACAAACTACGGGTCAGAAAATATAATGCAAGATTTTAATTTCAATTCTAATGAATGTCCAGTTTAACTATGTGTGATGTGGTCATGGAGGTTACTGTGTGACTAATATGTCATATGCAAAGTGATTAAACTCATGCGGAAAAGTTTTTAAACTGACAGCTCTTGGGTCCTTGAACAAGTTTCTTTTTTGGAAAATTAATTTAAGCACACTGACAAATCTACTTTGCATTGGGTCAAGAATTTTGGGTCACCACTAGAACCGTTCGTAATGGTTGGGAATCCAAGGTAACTACAGTTGTCGTCGTCTGTGACGGAGCAACCTTACAAACCTTTCAGAACCACCTTCGATTCTCCAGGTAATAAGAGTTTGACGCTTGGAAGATTATTCCTTAAAAACTAAAACTGATATGTTTAACAATTCTTTTCCTCTTTAGAAAGTTTAATTTAACTGTAAAGATGAAAAGTGTAAAACGCAGAGAAGCCATACACTAAATACCTTGGTTGGGTTCATCCATGGAAAACGCCTTGTTTTCCATGAACATGCTCTGGGAGCTCTGTTCTTTCAGGATTGTTTCGTATCCGGCTCCTTGGTTTGGGTAGAGATCTCCTCCATAGCTTTGCTGGCTTTCATCATCACTGGACAAACAGCAGATTTCAGGGATGGTGTAGATGATGATAAACACCCAGGCATTTGCAACCAAGGCGATGGCCAAGGTGGGGTCATCCCATGTGGGCCCCCCATGCTTCTCATTCCCGTAGACGTACATGACAATCCATGCCACCCAGATTCCCAGAGAGGACAGGCTGGTGAGGAGGATACATGCGCCGTCCTTCTTCCACTGCTTGTGTTTGCCCGCCATTATGGCCAGACTCGCCACCACCACAGCAAGGATCAGGGTCATCACGTAGATCAGCGCCATGACAAAGTCCTGGTTGGCAATGTTGCAAGGTGTAGCTGTGGCTCTGTCACTTTCAGCTGTGACGTTCAATGACTGCAGCGGGTGGTGCACCACTGTGATGATCAGCCACTCAGTGTTGATAACCACCTCCACCAACCACAGCCCCACTGCACCCAGAAATAAAACCCAAGCCCGGGGGCCGCTGTTCCGCCTGGCGAGGATGTTCAGCCGCACACACTGCATCAGGAGACAGGCGAAGCAGCCACCGAAGAGCACCCCGAACAGGAAACGTCGTGATGCGCAGGTGGAGAAGTCCTTCCCCACAATGAAGGCGAAAGTCAAGGAGAAGAGACCGGCCGTGCAGACAAGGAAGAAGGCGTGGAGGGCCACCGAGCTCCTGCGGTTCTTGTCTTTCATGAAGGGCAAGCTGGCCAGCAGCGAGATGAACAGCACCAAGGAGAAGACGATGCCAGCAGCTGCGAAGGCCTCCAGCACGATGCCCCACACTGCACTGAGGTCGCACAGGTTGTAATAGAGGGAGTCCACATCGGGGCCGCAGCCTTCAGGGGTGACGTTGGCAGCCATTGTGACCAGGATAGGTTAGAGTTCCCAGCAGCACCTGTTCAGATGGATAAACAGAGAGAGTCTGAGAAAGGTCCGATGAAGACAGATCTTTAACAAGGACTCTAAATACGTCAGCAATCCAAGATTAGGATTCTGGAGTCTACACCCAATTGAGTAAATATTACACTTGGATGAGTGAGTGTGCTGTATGCACAGGAAACACTTAGGACTCTAAAGAAAATCTTTGTCACAATGTTTGTCTAGAAAATATGAAATAAGAAGTATTATTCAGAGGTGGGGAGGATCTAAATCCAAGAACTCAACAGCCATCAAAAATATCAGAGGAATGTCAAACTCTTGACTTTTTCCCAACACTAATGTTAACCATTAACAGGAGCTGTACATTGAGGTGAAAGTACATCAAACCTGAGGCGATGTAGGCAGAACTGGAGTTTTACATTTCCAATGCAAATCATGCACATATCAAATAGAGAAGTGTTTCATCAGTGGTTCTGGCGTTCTCTGTTGAACAACATAAAATCAGAGAGTCTGCTTTGTGAATAAACGCCTCCACGGTCCCAGTCTCGTCTTTCTGCTGTGTCTGGCTGTGTCTCTTTGTCCCCCGTCAGATCCAATTACACTGATCTGAAGACAGTCTCCGAGCCAGATCGATAAAAGTGTGGTGGTGGATGCTCAGTTTTTCCAACTCCTGTGACTCACTCACAAGGATCTTTTTGGAAGGAAGAAATCAGCCTTCTACCCCTCCATCTACCCAGGTTCAGCTGGTCTCTTAGTCTTGTGGTGACTGTTGGTCATAAGCTGAATGGTTGTCTGTCCTGCCGGTCCTTTCGTAAACCAATATAATACACGCTTACTAAGATCTTTTCATTCTAGGGTGTGGCCTCTGATAAGATGTGGTGACGCTGTATTAACACAGGTCCCACCCTTCAGGAGTCATTTTAACCTGTTACCATGGAGAGCTCAAGCACCAACTGTTTTATGGCATGATTGCAATTTCTGAATGTTCAAGGTAGAAACACAAGACAGATTGTCATTCCAGTATGAAGATAAGAATGTTTTTTTTTAGAAAATGAAGAGACAAGGCAAAAGTCTACTTTTCCAAATATCTCACATACTGTATGTGACCATGCAGCAGGTTGATTCTTGACCTTGGAAAGATCAGTCAAGGAGCTGAAAAAGTGTCATCACAACATCCATTTAGTGGCAGTTCGGGAGCTTTCGATCATATTGCATGACCTTCATCAGCAGATTTGTTTTCGCTTGTAAAATGACTTCAAGACATTGTCAAGACTTTTACTGTGCTCAAAGCGATTACATCTTCAGTTTCATGACAACTGGAAAAACTACATCTGCTGATGATGATCATGAAACGATAAGTTAATTAGTTGAGAGAAAAACAATCAGCAAGTAGTTTGATAACTGGAACACAAAATACTGTGAACTGAAATATCATGGGTCTTGAGGGGGCTCCTGCATTTTCACCAAATCATGAGACCCCATCTTCTCAAGGGGCTCTGAGATTTTACCCGCAAACTAACGAAGGTAAAATGAAGAGCAGATACAGAAGAAGCTTCAGAATGTCGCCTCAATAGCAGAACATTTCTTTATTTTCATTCATCAGTTAATCTAACCAAGTCTATAACCTCTTCATTCTCATTTAGGTTATTTAGCACTATTTCAGCAGGATGTGCAAAGCACACAGGTACAGGAGCTACACTATAAGTAGAAATCTGTAAGCTGCGACTTCAAGAACAGTCAGAGAAGAGACTGATGATGCATTTAACTTGGAACTTAATACCACATTTACCTCAATAAACTCAAATTATGTTACTTTGTTTATTTGTCGTAACTATGTAGTGTAGGTTTAACCAGCCGACATATTCTCACACCAACATGGAGTATTCTATGCATCTGACCCAGAGAATAATTGTCACACAAACTTCTACAAGGGTTCAGGAATATGTGACCACTGTAGCCTTCACATTTTCACCAGTCAAACGCCCACACAAAGTTATAAATATCCACAATATGAGCCTGTAAACAGCACACAGTGAAGTTATTGTGCACTCTAAATTGATTATAATATATTTAATTTAGATTAAAATATTAACACTGTGGACGAGATAATTGGGTTTAAGAATAAACATAAAGATGATTGTGATGCGTTCAGGTACCTGGATGTTCTCTGGAGACGTCTCTGTGCTTCCTGTTGATCTCTCGTGTTCAAACGCTTCTTCACCTGCTGCAAACGGCGGAGCTGAAGATAAATCATCGACAGTAAAGGAAAAAGTCACTAAAAAGTTTCTGCTCTCTGTCAACTCTCACAGAAAACCAGACGAGACTGATCCCAGCTCAGTTCATGTGAAATTAAATGAAGATAAAAAAAAAAGTTTATGAATCCTTCGTCAAGCGTTTCTTCACGATCCGACTGCTGTGATGGTCTCTCTCTCTCTCTCTCTCTCTCTCTCACTCACACACACACACACAAACACACACGCGCGCGCGGAACACCTGATAGTAGTGGTGTTCAGGAGACACCTGGTGGTGAAAGTCGTCATTTGGAAAATATTACATCTCATAAATCCGTTAAATCGTCTTTTCAGAAGGTTTGAATCATATTTCGTAATTTTTATATAATAAATTCATAAAATACTGACTATTTTAGAAATAAATCCTGATGTTTTCTGGATTAAAGAGAGGAAATCTTCTGTTTATTCTGTTGAATTCCACTTTACCATCGTTTTTTATTTTCTATTTCTATTCTATTCTGTTCTATTCTAACCCTTTGTTTTATTGTTGAAATGTGCTAATAAATACAAATATATTTTCCCTGTCTTGCCTTCAGATTAATTTCAGTGTTCAAAATGTTCAGAAACGGCAGGGGGGAAAAAATGTATTTGCCTCTATCTCCTGCCTGTTCTCCATCCGGCCACCTTCCCTCCAACTCCCAGTCACCTGACCATCTCCCCGCCTACTCACACACCTGTTTCCAATTTCCTCATCAGTCCTTCCAGTGGATTCAGATTCAGACCTGCGTGTTTCACCTGCTCCCAGCCAGGACGTCATGTTCTCCTGCGTGTTGTGCTTCGAACTGGTCGCGGCGTGGACTCCAATTCTTACCACCTTACCTGCCTGGTTACCTGTAAGCCCTGCTCATCCTTTCATTAATGTTACTTCATTGCAGCTGCCTGCCTTTGGTTCCTCCTGCCTGTTTCCCTATATGTGAGCAAATGCTGAATTATATTTTCCTTTTACTCTGCAGCTCTTTGGCTCCTGTTCTCAATCTGCCTTTTAAAGGTAAAAGTTAACGACATGTTAATTCCCTTGTTCCCATGTTAACTGTGTTTAACCGTTGTACCGACACTGTACTTGATTTTTATTTTCTCAGTTGCTGACAATATGATTAAAAGTTAGTCCTGAACAAATGACTGTTTTTGTTGTGGCTCCAGATCCCATAGCACCACCATGTGGCCGTTTATCAATCCTTTGGTTCAAGACACTTTTTTTTTTTTTAACCATAAGTTTTATCCAATTTTCTCCAAATTTTCTACACAACATATTTATATTTGTTTGAGCCATAAAAATGCCCGTAATTATTTCTTTTATAAGCTAAATGCTTTTGCAGAGGATCTCAGAGTTTACAATGATGCCGACTATGTTTGACCATTTTTGTAGAAATTTGTATGAGATGTAGCCAAACACACGTAGAATATTACCAGTTGATGGAATGGTGCAGCCATTAAGAATATTTCATTCACTTTAAACATTATAGCTTCAATGGAAAAGGCTGATATAGAATATAGTACAGTATATATTCTATATGGTATTGTCAGATCGTGTGAAATAAGGTGACTTTTTACTACCTTTTGCTACTTGAAGGGGAAAAACTGGATTTTAATTAGTTTCATGTCCATTATGAGTCTGACTCGTTAAAGTTTTGCACAATGTTTAAATGTACAAATCAAATATTTAAAGACAGAATTTAGGAATTCTTCAAAAAATCATTGCCACCAAGAGTTTCCTACAGTTTGCTTGATTTTCATTTTCGTTATTTTCTAAAATAACCTTAATTCTCTAGATCTCAGTGATGTTTGGTGAATCGATATTGAGCTCTTGAAATTGGGCTTTAAGTGAAGATTTTGGTGCTTATGATGTTCTGATCAATGATTAAAGGACCAGTCCCCTCGAGGAACCCCACCTCCCCTCTCCAGCAGACTCTCACTCACACTTGTTGCTCAAGAGCTGATTTTTCCTGCTTCATTTCCCTCAGCCTGGTTTCCATAGAGTGACAGCCTCTCTCTTCTCAGCTCCTCCATCTGTCTCTCAAAGTTTTTATTGTGGCTGAATTTCTCTCTTTTGGTTCCATCCATCTGGCTTCTTGTGGCCATTAATTATCTGTGTCCAGTTTCAGATCAGATCCATTTTTGTCTGTCGTCACTTCAGTGTCCAAATCTGACATCCACCAAGACCACCATTTCCTGAGCCCATCCCACATTATGTCATCTGTGGAGGTTTTTCTTTTTTCCGCATTGACCCATCCACCAAAACCCCAGAGAAACATTATAGAGGAGCAGTCTGTGGTGAATCATCCTTCATCCTGGTCGCTCTGCAAGGACAAATTCATTAGTCTCAGCTTCCTATTACAGTGCTTTTCTACATATTATATTTCAACATAAATTATACCAATGATAAATGCAGCAGTAGAGCTAGATAACTTTGATTTAAGAGCAGGAACTGGTTTCAATTTTATGCTCTAGGATGGAAATTAATTTAAAAACCTCTATCCTACACCTGAATATACATTTTTTTTTCCATCTATAACTGTTATAATACACAATATATTCATGTTGCACAATATAAATGACAACAGTAAAATCCTGTGTTAAACATTTATTTCCTCTCCATATAAAACTCTTCTCAGTGCTCACAGACGAGATCATTCTGCGCCACAGTTACTTATGCCAAGAGAAAATGGAGGAATAGTGTAAACAATGCATATGAAGCCACTTAAACAACAACAAGCCAACATGCAGGGGAACATGCCTTCCAACATTTATCGTGTTTAAATTCACTGAAACAATGAATTTACATCCAACGTAACAGCAAAGGATCCATGTCAGGTTGTTCCATGATAAATTCTGCAGACATTTGTACAATGTTTTTGTTTTCCAGTTTTTTCATTTTCTTTTCCTCAGTTATGTTTTTATTGTGTCAAAGGTTGTAAGCATAGGCTGTTATTCACAGATGCTCCAACATCTTTGAAATGAGCAAATTCACAATATTACACAACATTCAAAAATCACAACTTAAAAACATCCTTTCAAAGACACAATGCCCTAGTTCCTCTGAATAACAGACTTTTATTAATAGACAGATTAGAAAAAAAGAACTTTAAAAGTGTAATTAAAAATATATATTAGTTCCAGTGAAAGCTGTTCTCTGTGGATCATCCAGAGTAACCAGAACATTGTTTCTGGAAAGACTTGCAGCTACATTTCTCAAATGTAATTGTTTCACTAGTTTGAGGGACAAATAAATCCCCAAATATATACAAGGGTAGAAACTATAACTGGTCCTCATTGCCTGACCGACAAAATAGTTAATCCATAGTTCTCCTGGCTCACCATCACTTATATACGACTAATTTGTAAAAGCCAATACAATTTAAAGAATGCCACCTTGATTTTTATCAACATAATAGGAAATGTTTTAAATGTATCTGGCAAAATAAGTGCTCATGTTAAAGCTTTTATTGTCATGTTCAGTCAACTCAAAGCTCCTGGTTAAGGTTAGGGAAAGATCCTAGTCTCGCTTAAATATTGAAAATGAGCTGTGTCGAGATAGGGTGTAGTTCACTTTCAATATATTTAACCAAAACCACTATCTTTGCCTAACCTATGTGGGATATAGGACCTAGACCCTGGTGTCAAAGTTCTGTACTAAAGTCCATTTAAGAGTACACATATATATGAAATTTAGGGATTGAAACTTAATTGTTCACCTTGGAAACGGTGGTTGTCAGAGACCATAAAGTCCATTTGTAGCTGTCTGGGAGTTTTCGATCATATTTCACAGCCCACCTCAGCAAATGTTGTCCGCTTCAAAATCATAAACTTAAATTTCCATTTCTCATAAATGTCATGTTTAGGGTTGGCAGCTGATTTGGGCACCAGCTGGTAGGACAGGGGCCCAGATGTGTGTGTGTGTGTGTGTGTGTGTGTGTGTGTGTGTGTGTGTATGTGTGTGTGTGTGTGTGAGAGAAAGATTGTATTCATGGCTAAAAGACACCAACACTGACTTGAGACTGAACATAAACTGTCTCCAGTGTCGAGCTCAGACCTTTTGTACCCTCATCCCTAAGACATGAGGGCAGAAGAATGTCACACAGTTTCATCACTGCTACTGACCGGAAACTGTCTGAACAGACGACTTTTGCTCTCATGTTTATTTGAAGCATTATTTACATGACATATCAGGAAATGTGCGTCATTTTAAACTGATGCTATCGTGTTCTGGAGAGGACAGTTTCCAGAATACGTTTGAAGTACTTCCTTTAACTGTCCATAAAGTATGAGCTTCCTGTATTTAGGCAAGTGCATCTGATAGGACGCACTTGTCACTCTCTGTGGTGCTTTGTCTTTTCAATTGATTTCTTGTGACACCTGCCGAGCAGCAGGCAGGCCTGAATAGGAGCAGGGTAACAGGACATAAGCAGGTGTTTGAACAGGAACAAAGGACAGATGGCAGGCAGACAGGGGACGTGTGGTGAGCAGGGTTTACCTCTTTAATGTCTTCACCCCTCTCCTCTCTAACAGCTCTGTAGATGTGTGAAAGCTCCAGCAGGGCTCCATTAAACTTTAATCAAAGCCTGCTCTGGCTTCCTAACATCATATTAAAGCCTTAACTGTTTGTTCTGTCATCTCTGCAAACTCCACTGTCCACAGCAGTGTAAGGTCGTCGCCACTACACGCTCTCTCACACCCCCCTCTGTTAGTGTCAGGCAGCAGGAGGCGTCTTCAAAGAAACGCTTCATATCTACATCTGCGTGCGGACTCTCAGAACTCAGTGTGGGACGACCGCGGGGCGACGTGAGGAGACTGACACGGGGGACATGCAGGGGAACCGACACTGTGCTTCTTACTGTTACAGTAAACACAATGAGGACTGTGGAGGGACGAGAGCAGGCAGGTGGCTTGCATTGGAAACTTTAACCCTGAATGGGTGGCCAGAAAAGTAAATGGAAGAACGACCTAAACTTTAGGAAGGAGATGTATATACACTGTACTTGAGTCTCCATTGCTGAGTGACGCATTAAAAATGTTTGCGATGATACTGGAAGATATCGGGGACTGAGTTAGGTTAAAAAGCTTATAAGTTCTTTGTGATGATTTTTTTCATTGTAAATATTAAAGCTGCGTTAGTCTCAACATTTTTTTTTTCTT